CGCCCAACTCGCGGGCGGCTCGCAAGAGCTGGAACAGGGGGGGCTCTTGCGAGCCGCCCGCGAGTTGGGCGGCCGCGAGCCAAAAGGTATTTCCGATATGGATATGGGATGTAATGATAGCAGTAGGCAAGCTACGGACATCGCTACTCGCTCTGTTAAATGATGGTCAACAGTATAATCACTGATGCATATTCCAATTATATAAAATAAAAAATAAAATTAAATGAGATGAACTTTAAGGTGTAATGTTGCTATAGAAGGCAAGTTAAGGAAACAATTAATGACCGCCCCAATTCCCAGGTTGAGGGGAGTGATCAGAATTTTAAAGATTTTTTTTTCTTTTTTAATAACCCATCGCGCTCTTCGTCTTTAGTTTTGTATGATCCGCATAAAATTCCAAACAAAAGAAATCGGAAGAATCATAGAAGTTGAAATAAAAGACAAAACCAGGATTTGGACGTAGAGTCCTTCGTTTCTCCTCGTTTCATGGCCCTCCTTTCGTCACGTGATGGACCACCGCAGTTTTTAATGCTAGAAGGCCACATGACAGCTATGCGGATCGTCTTAAGAAAGTTGTTGCCCTCATAACATCACTCGCGATCTAGGTTTGAATAAATACTGATGTGAGTACTACAATTTTGGTTCCCCTCTCTCCCGCCCAAAAAATTAAAAAATAAATAAAAAACAAAACAAAACAAAAACGAAGACGAAAACAAAAACAAAAAGAAAGAGAGAAAAATGAAAAGAAAACTTCCGAAAATTATCAAAAAACCTCTCATAAGTTTTCAAAAATATCAGAGAAACCATGCTAATTTTGGGAGCTAAAAAGCCCCTTTAGCTTAAAGATTTTTTTTTCATGAATTTCGTAAATGGCAAATTTTTCATGTTTTGTGAGTAAAATGGTCCAAATAAAAGGTGTTCACTTCTCCTCAGAAAGATCTACATGAGAGCGGGTCGATAAGCTGCATATGTGATTGGTAGGAGCTAAAATTATCATTTTCATGTCTCGATATTCAGCTCTGATGGCCTGATAGCACACGAGTCGTTTTTGATATTAAGTGTATTCAACTTAAATAGTAAGCATATTATTAAAAAAATATTATACATATTAAATGGTTAATTTGCGAATTGGTCTTTTTTTGTGCACCTCTCTTACTGATTTGGTATTTTTTTAGCTCCAGCGATGTTTTGGTATTTTTACCAAGTCAAAATGTGCAATTAGATCTACAACTTACACCGCTGGCAGAAAAAGCCACGAAATCCTTTCCTCATAGCAGTTTTTAGCTCTCAAATTTTATCTTCACTACATTCGGAGGTAATATCATGTCATTCACTTTTTTGTTCCAAATTTTACTTGCTTACAGTGGACTCAACATTCTTGTATAAAATTGGGCATAGTTATTATCCTTATACTAATGTGCTAAGTAATATTTAGACATTTTCGTCATGAATAAGATATTACCAATAATATCATGTGAGGTTTCACATTTTCCCCCTCCGCCAACGATAAAAATTTAGATCTAGTTGCATATTTAGCTCACAAAAAAATGCAAAACGTGGCCAGAGCTAAAAATATTAAACTGATAAAATGAGTGTAAAAAATATACCAGTATGATAATATAACCCATATTAAATTACACGTGATGGTCAGAGTGTCTCTTTTAGTGCTGACCCATGGATCCCAGTGACTTTTTCTTTCAGGCCAATCACTTCTCCGATCGACCCTTCCAGAAGGGGGGCTAAGTTGGTCTCTGCTTCGAGTACTTAGAATCATGAGCTGATTGCTACCTCCTTTTGATAGGTAGATTGGGAGGACATTATTTATCCCACTGTCGCCTTCTCCTATCCTTGACAAACTCATTTGCATTATGAGGAGAAGGGGTGCTGTACAATTAAGAGTGAATACCAACTTCTTCGCCACACTATGCCTGATACTGCTTCCACCTCGGATTCTAGGGTAACAAAGTGGTGGTCCTTGATCTGGCATACGGAGTTCCCACCGAAGATTAGAGTGTTTCTTTGGCGTTTGTTCTATGATGCTCTCCTCACCTCAGCTGGTTTATCTCACAAGGGGATCTCTGTGCCCCCTAGTTATGCCTTTACTCTGCTGTCTTTGAGACCTCCCTTCATATCTTCACTGTCTGCTCCTTTGGTCGTTTTGTGTGGGAGTCCTTAGATCTTTGGGAAGTGATTAATGGTTTTTGAGTCACGTCTTGTGGTGATTTCCTTTTCCATCTCACCTCTGTTTGCCCTGGGGACTCTCTGGCTTTGGCTTTCACAACCATGTGGTTTATATGGGGGAAATGAATATACACTCTCATTGTGATGGTGTTAGAGATGCCTCGGTCTTGGTGACTCGGGTTCTCTGTTTAGTGGAGGAAGGTGATAGAGTTAGAGGTCTCTCCCGTGACATTATCACCCCTTCCAAATGACCTTCTGCTTGACATCCCCCTACTCCTGGTTTGCTGAAGCTCAACACAGATGTTGTTGTTTGTAATGACCGTAAATTTTTAATACCAGTTTAAATAATTTTTCTGTTATTTAAATATTAAATTATTATTTTTGAAAGAGTATTTGTATTTTCTCTAATTTTCTAGAATTTTTTTGACTTAAAAATCTAAAATTTATATTTATTTTAATAATTTTGATAATTATAAATTAAGTTGTTGCATTAAAAATCTTTTGAATTGATTTTGGTTATTTATTATTGTTGTATTATTATTATTGTTATTAATTATCTATAATTTTAGTTATTTACTATTATTATTATTTATTAATTATCTTGTATTAATTTTTAGTCTACACCATTATCCCCCTACCTCTATTTATAGCTATCAGCTGATCAACACGAAAGTCAATCTGTTATCTGACTTTCTCATTGTTCCCTCTTGTCAGCCACTCTCTCTCCAATCAATATCTTTCTCTCTCATTCTCTCTCTCCCTCACCTCACGACAACTCACAGCCTCTCTCCTCCCAACTCCCTCCCAACTCCCTGTCAAATCTCCCTACCCCACTCCCCTAAATTCCTCCCTAATTCCCGCACCCCACTTAACTCTGTCTCCCCCTCTTATTTTAATCCCATACGCATCTCTCTCTCTCTTAATCATTCACAACAGCTCTCTCTCTCTCTCTCTCTCTCTCTCTCTCTCTCTCTCTCTCTCTCTCTCTCTGTTGACGACAATATTAAATGATTTCAAATGATAAATTAATGTTTTTCTAGATTAATTAGAATTATTATTATGAGAAATAATTTTTAAAAGAGTTTATTTTGGAAAAATGGTTTAATTTGAATTATTATAATAATAAATAAGTTAGAAGAATTTATTTTGGAAAATGGGTTAGTTTTGAATAATTATAATGTTAAATAATTTTAAAGGAAAATTTTTGGAAAAGGGGTTACTTTTAAAGGAATCTATTTTTTTTGGAAAAGATTATTTTTGGAATTAATAAATTTATGATCATGACGATTGGAAATTGGGAGATTTTATGTTGATAGTTGTAGTTCCATCTTGCATTGTTATTAGTAGTTGTTCACGTTTCCTGTTAATGATTCATGACATTGTTACATAGTATTCATTGCATTTATACCTTGTTATAGTTGAGAATCGCGAGTATTGCTTGACCATAGTGACCCGTGAGATATGAGTTGTTGACTTGGACTTGGGATGGGAAGGTCTGGGTTTATGTTATCGGATATGTTTATTGTTATTTCCAGGCTCGCACCAGTGAATCGTTTCGCACTGGGGTGGGTCTGAGGTGATGTGATATTATGATTGTTGATTATTTCCAGGCTCACACCAGTGAATCGTTTCGCACTGGGGTGGGTCTGAGGAGCAGTGATCGGATATGTTATTGTTTATTTCCAGGCTCGCACCAGTGAATCGTTTCGCACTGGGGTGGGTCTGAGGAGCAGTGATATGGTGATTGTTGATTATTTCCTGGCTCTCACCAGTGAATCGTTTCGTACTGGGGTGGGTCTGAGGTTCTAGTGAGATATGGTTAACCAGATATCCGATAATGTGAACTTTTGGCTCTGTGTGAGATAGTGACCAGTGAGTTATGATAGGATGGCTAGTTGTTTTCTTTCCATACATAGATCAGGATTAATATTTAATTATCTACAATTCGAGACATATGGTATATACATGAGGGTTTCCTTGTTTGGATTATTTTGCTCGACGTATTACGTCTCTTGTTGTAGATTTTTAAGTATTAATTCCATCTATTGTATGCCCTTGTGACTTGGATGATTTGACTGATCGCTAGCTGCATGACCTCGTTACCTGATCGATTTTGGATGCTTTATGTTATCATGATTTAGTAGTGTTTTCATGTTGATTTGTGGATTTCAGTTGTACGTTCTTTCGTTGTTTCTGTTATCGTATCGTTTTTCGCATTGGATTTCCGTTCGTTCTATTTTCTTTGTGGGGTCGGGTCTTGCTGTGCGCCATGCACCTGACGTACACCTATTTTCTCTGGTGTACGTCAGACTTAGATGAAGAACAGGTTCAGTTGGGAGATCTCCAGGAGCCAGATGATTCTCAGTCGGAGTACCTTGCAGACGTAGCAGAAGAAGAAGTTGAAGCTTAGTTATTGGTCCTCCGTTTTCTTTTGTACTACCTTTCATTTCTATTTGATCAGTGTATTTTGTATCTTTTCAGTATTCATTTGTTCATATTTGTATAAGGGCGTGTTTGACCCATATTTTTATGTCTGGGATGATTTACCTTTGAGGATATGTCTATTTCTTATTCTGGGTTGTCATTATATTCTTGCTATGTGTGATCGGGGACCTATGACTTCGTATATTATATTTTGACGCTTAGCGTATTAGATTGAGTAGAAAGAGTTATTTATTTATTTCTTCTCAATCTAATACGTCGCGGGCTTGTTCACGTTCCGGTTCCCGGATATTTTGGGAAGCGGGGCGTGACATTGTTCCTCTTGGGTTACCATGGACATGTGATTGGTTGCTACTCTATGGGGGATCAGGGGTCCTATGTTTGCGGATCATGCGGAGCTGTTGGTTGTCCTGGAAGGCATTCGCTATGTTCAGCGTATGAGCTGGAGGATTTTAGTGGTGAAAATTGACTCTCTAAATGTTATCTTCTTGGTGGACTATCCTTCTCCTTTTGCTTCATTGGCTCCTATTGCAGATGAAGTTCGCGCTGGTCTGACTATTACTGTTTGCTCTAAAGTTTCTTATGTAAAGCGCACTGGTAATGGTGTTGCTCATTCCCTAGCTAAGTCGATTAACCTACCCGTCTTAAAAAAAAAACAAGAGAGGGGGGTTGTTATTGTAGGGAGATCTGCTCAATAAAATCTTTTTGAGCTCGCGGGTGAGATTTCACGTTTGACTCGCTTCGCAACGTAGTTACTTTTTACCTAGAGGCGGTGGAAATATGAAACCCTTGCACGTCGCAATTGTCAAATCAAAATGACTTGTTCTTGGTCACAGTACCGGTACGTCCGGAACTATTTGAAGAGGCTATGCACACATCAGCCAAGCATAAAGTGGGCCTGTTTATTATTTATAGAGCGTGTTTAGCAAATCCTAAGGTCAGATTTTGATATGACTATATTTTTAACAAGACTTTGTTTTAATAAAACTGGACGTTCAGTTTTTCTAATGTTAAAGTGGGCTTTTAAGCTGATTTTGTTTTGAGCCACATCTTAATTGGTCTAAAATAAAACTAATCATCATATCATACTCCCTTTAATCGAGAGAGTTGTGGAAAAAATTTTCATGAACTATATTGCCCCTATTCTTTTTTGATATTATATTCTAATCATAAATTAACTAAATCAACTATCATTATTAATTAATCATATTACATACCACTACAATTTTGTCTAGCTTGGCCCTAAAACTTCTAATGTTATTATAAAACTCTTAATTATTAATAATGCATAATACTATATTGATAGACAATTGCAAGTTAATAAATTATTTTGGAATGAGTATAAAATATAGAATTATCCTAAAATTATATCATGACACTCACATAGGAAAATTATAAAGAGTATTCTTGCGTACATAAGTACAAACATGTAATTTTAGAAAATATTAGGATATCTAAGTGCAATAAGATATAAGTGGAGGTATATGAGTGTAACTTTCGTAAGTTATAAGCTATTTATGTTTAATTAAGTCTATAAAGATTTGAAGCCTTTGTTAAACACAATCAATATTATGTGATCCATTTGATAAATAATATACATCGTATAATATGAGGCTAGATGCTTAGCTTATATTTATATAGTACAGAAGATGTGGAAAATTTTAAGCATCATATTTTGAATAAGTCTCAAGATTTATAATTATAAATAAAATTATATACTTCGATTAGAATCATATCATATCATACTCCTTTTAAAAGAGGAAGTTGTAGAAAAACTTTCTATGGACAATATTACCCATATTTTTTAAATATTATATTTTAATCCTAACTAAACTAAATTAAATATTATTATTAATTAATTATATTATATGCTACTTCAAGTTTATCTAACTTGGTCCCTAAAAATTCTAATGTTATTGTAAAACTTTCATATTAATTATTAGTAATGTCTAATAATATATTAACAAACAATTGCATGTTAATGAATTATTAATGGAAAGAGTATAAAATATAAAATTATCCTAAAATTATATCATTATATTCATATAGGAAAATTACAAATAGTATTCTTGCGTATAGAAGGTACAGACATGTAATTTTAAAAACATTGGGATATTTAAGTGCGGCAAGATACATGTGAATGTATGTAATTGAAACTTTTATAAATTGTAAGATATTTAATTTAATTAAGCCAATAAAGATTTAAAGCCATTGTGAACCACAAGCAATAGTATGTGATACATTTGATAAATAATATTCATTATGTAATATAAGGCCAGAGGGTTAGCTTATATTTATATACTAGAGGAAATGTGGGAAAATTAAAGCATTATATTTTGAATAATCTTAAGATTTTGAATTATTTCTAAATTTATATACTTTGCTTAGAAAACTTTAGAAGAGGCTTTCGAAGGACTACTACAAAGTGTTGGGCATCATATAAATACTGGACAAATAAAATCTATGATATTAGATTGCAATAACTGGGGTTATGGAAAAAATATTTGGGTGTCATATGAGATAATGCTCATACATAATACAACGTTTTAATCTATAATCTAAGATATTGATAAATTTTCAACATAAGAATTTGTGTCAAGATATATGCTTGAGATTTGGGAAAGCTGAGAGTGGAGAGATTTGGGATATGAATTGTGGCTTTTGTGACTTGTGCTTTAGTTTTGGTTTCCAAACACGACCTAATACCAAGCCCACAATCAAATTAAAAATGACTCTATTTTGTTATACCAACCAATATTTTCGATAATGATCAATATATGAGAAAAAAAAATCCCCAAATAAAAAAATAATATAAAACCAAAAAAATTATTAAGATAATGTATTTAACCTTTTATATCAGGTGATAGAGCGATATATCAGCCAATATTTCATATATTGCTTATAAGAGCAATATTTACAGGTAATTTAGATAGCATTTCATTGATTTTAAATCTCCAATAATTCTATATTATTCCCTTAAAATTTTGGAATTGCTTATAATTTAGGTACTAATATAGAATTATAAAATAGTTGAGCTAAATTTAAAAGAATAGTTAATTCTTTAAAAACGCTCTCAAGTATGGGGAATGTCTCAAAAAAACCACTCAACTAATTTAATTTGACAGAGCCTCCTAACTATAGAGGTGTTGTAGATAACCCTCTCAACTTTGGTGCGTTTTTAGAAAACATCATTCGACTTAGCATGTCTTATAAAAACTCTCCTGGTCTTTTACACATCTCTTAACAAACTCCCTTAATGTAAAAAACTTTAATAAGTGATTTTGTCAAAATGCCCTATTAAAGAAAACCATTTTAGTTAAAAGAAACTCTCAACCGATAATAAAAGGATAACAACCAATTTACAATTCTTTTTAACTCTAAATCTTCACTTTTTCTTTCATCTAGCAAAAAACCAAGCTAATTCTTTTATGGTTGAGGGATATTTTGGTCTTTCCAAGTCAAGTACTTATCACATAATGAATTCGACTCAATGACATTAGCTTTGAGGGGTTAATTGAGAAAAGTTTATAAGATTAAATCAAAATTTTAAAGTTGAGATAGATTAACTATAACACCCCAAATTTGACGAACAAACATTTACTCATTTCAAGTAGTTAGGGGGGGATGCATTTTTTAACATTTTCCCCATAGTTGAGGGGATGTTTCCTAAAATTAACCCTTAAAAGAGTATAATTTAAGACACATATGACATAAATCTTATAGGAGTGGATTTTATAGCAAGTCTATCAGTATCTCTGGAAATCTTTTGCTACAAAATTCGCAGAGAGAAATTTAATCTTTATTTGGGATGCCTATGTGATCCTTATGGTTCTCCTTATCTTTTATGATTTGTAATAAATTATTTAACAAAATAAATTAAG